TTTCAGTGGCGGCGCCAGCCTTCCGAGACTGGAGGTACAAATAGGGGGCAGACTGACTCAATGGGGGGACAACTGCTGAGGCTGAATTCTAATTTTGGCGACTCTGTGGTGGTGTCATAGTCGCAAGCCTCTTATAGAGAGTCTTAGAGGGTTCTCTCAAGAAAATTTGAGAAAAAATGAATTGATTTTGCATTCTGGCACATTTTTTAGAGAAAAAAGGTAGACATTTAGATTTGTTAAAAATAAAGTGGGGATACAATTGGGGGTGCAAATCACTTTTCTATGGTGGTAATTGCCCCGGATCACATAATCATTATTGTTCAAAAAACTAAAAATGTCCTGGTAAAACCGCAATACAGACCATCGTCTAGAAATGTAAAAAGATTTGTTGAAAAAGCAATAATCAATGAAAATATCAAAGAAAAAGATCTTTTACCGTAAAATGTGTGGAATTTGCTTACTCTTTTATTTTTTTTCTTTCCTAGGACATAATAATCCAACATCTTTTTTCTGATTTCTACATTTCCGAATTTCACAAACTTTACCATATTAGGCAAAATTATCTAATTGGAAATAACTGTTTTCTTACAATTATCGTGGCAATGAACCCAAACTTACTTTGGTTAATTTCCATGCCTTGGACCCACAGGTAGAGGTTTGCGACTAATTTCATAACTAAATAATTTTGAAACGCTCTTAAAAGCATTTGTTAATAATTACTGAGTATAATAGATATATCGTCTTATGGTTTTATTCTTATAGTCAAGGCACCTGGCAAGTCCAACTGATGAATATAATATGCACTTATTGACCACGTTTGAGACTTTAAATTTTATGTCAATTCTAAGATCTAAGAGGCAGTATCCCTTTCTGCACTAAGATCTGGACACACTTTGAATCATTAGGTGATTTTTATACGCAAAATAGGATACTGATCGATTTTTATATCTTTATCAATTGAGAACATGTTTACCTTTAGATGATAAAGACTAGCGACCACTATCGTCGCAATTTACAGTTGATAAGCAAACAAAGTGGACCGGATCCGTAGACCAAACGATCAATCATTGGTTCGCTACTGTAGTTGCCAACATCCGTGAAGTTTGGGTTTGTTTCTATGATATAAAGGTCCGGGTAACCAATTGTATATAAAATAAATCGCTGACACAAAATTTCATAACTAATTCAACTATAACCAAATATACTATTTTTGAACTTCTTCTTGTAAAAGGACTTTTGTATTCAATATTTTTGTGGTTGCACTTTGATAAGAAGAATCATTTCTTTGCATCTGAAGATTTTCTACTTAAATACTTTGTAAGTGAAACTTTTTTTTAGTATTTCCTATTTTTAGTCCCTTGCAAATTTGGCTTGGCTTTACTATCGGCAATAAGTAGGCAAGTACGATACTCTGGAAATTTCAATACGAAAAGAAATTGAAATAACATTGTATTTCGCTTTAAAAGCAACAAAAACAATTAGATAGGCCTACTAGTATATAAAACAGATACAACTAATTACCAATTATTGTATCTTTATTGTGGCCAAATGAAAAGAACTACATCGAGATAAAACGTTCCAGTTCGAATGAAATTAATGTGTTTAAATTTATATAATAAATCAGCTACAGGTGACAATTATTTGCATCTGTTTAAACTGCAAAGTTTTCCGAAAAATCGATACTTTTTGATATTTTAGTTGAAAATTGGTTCATGTTGTGCTTTTTGATTTAGTAAAAATGCTTTCCAAAGTGGTTTTTCAAAGTTTTTATTGTGTTGAAATTTCCGTCCAGTAATTGATTACTTGTTTTTAAAAAAAATTCCGAAAGAAATATTATTTTGCAACCGGTCTATCTTTATATACAGATTTAGATTCAGCTTTACGGAAACTGCCGATGATTGTCGAGGCGAATATGATGGAAAACGTGATCAACGTGTTGCAATCTACAATGTTGTGTACTTGACTAAATGAAAAGAAATGAATATAGTTTTACGTCCTATTCCACTGTACCTTATTGAGCTACTGAAGACGGACAATGTCAAGCAGTGTGCAATGAGGGAAATTTTGCTAGGACAGCGGCATAAGCCTACTCTTTTCCGATTTAAATGAGTTAAAGACGAGGTGACCTAATTAATAGTGCGCGTATTGATATAACAAACATTAGACCTAACTATATACATAATGTAGACTAAATTACTCATAGGTAAAATACATTGACACAAATTTGTTTACGCATAGTTAAGTATTGTTTGCTCATTGCTAACGCTTTGGCATGCACCGTCGACGTGCCGAGTTTGCGCAGTGTTCACTGCACACACATGGTTCACCAAAGTGGCACTCATACGGTAGCAAATTTAGGCCTATGCGTGCCAAATTTGTGAAAATTGACAAAGACATCATCAATATAAATGAACACACTAAATTTCGGTAAAAAATATAGAACCTGTAGTCTCTTTTTAAAGGGATCATACTTACGTCTTAGAGTAAACAAAAAATATAAAAATTTTAAACTCGGCCAATAAGAGCATATATTCATCAGTAGATATACTTGGTGTCATAAATAACATAACAGGATCCTTATATAATCCGATAAATCCAAATAACTCATAACCCGTTCAACGTAAAACTGTCAAAATCCGAACTTGACCAAGGACTCGTCAACAATTGATCTCACTAAATTTCGTTAAAATCAGATAAAAACTCTCTTATCTCTATTGTGTTCACAAGAAAATTTAATGTTGACGGACCGACGGGCAGGAGCGACGTCCACGTTTCCATGTGAGCGTATAAAAAATTAAACAGCAATTCTTGGCATTAAATAAACGAAAAAATAAACGAATAAAAGTAGATAAGTAAATTGCACATTTGATGCTTCCTAATCGACTAGAGCTCATCTCATTAACAATCCCCATCAGGACGGACATCTATATTTGGAAAGAGGAGTAAAAAAATTGGACATTGGTTGCTTGAGCAATGAAAATGAAAACATAATACTTAATATATGAATAGAAAGTAGAGGTGTTTTAATTACACGGAAAAATACCAGTTTGTCCCATATGTCCATAATTAATTCATGAGAATTACCAGCAGAATTCCAATGACTGACAGATCAAGAAAGGTCAATATATCTTTTTTGTGTATCCAAACTGTGCTTACATGGACATTTATGATTGGTTAAAACTCTTAATTAAATGCAACAAGAACATAATGATATGATTAAGAATACGTGATGATTTATTAGAAACACCAATTAATCAAATAGTTTGCTTAATTTGACACTAAAAAATAAGGAAACCCATCTTTAACGCACAAACTGGGTTAGTTTTATTTTGCTTTCAATCCGGATGTTTGTGAGTCTTTATAAAGTGCACCGAATTCAGTCCCATCCTTGTCACCTTGTTTCAAATGTATCTTTGACCTGTTAATTCATCATGTCGAAATAATACCATGCAAAATAGGTTTATGAAGATGATAGGTCGAGATAATAGGCTACTTAGATATTTTGTCAATGCATTTCAATGTTAAAATAGACACATGAAACAAAAAAAAAGAAAGATATTCCAACTCACTGATTTCGACGCGAATCATTAATTAAAGAGACATGTGCGGGGTTAATTTTAGTCTTGAATATATGTAAATAGTCTTCAGAAGTACTAGAAATGTTAGAAAATCGCATAATTCCTTCAAATATACTTCAAACTAGCAATTTTACTCACTATTTCTATATATGGTTTTACTATATATCACTGAGTATCTCAAAATGACGAGTCGTCATTTTAACATTCAATCGCGGATAATTCTGGCTTCAATTTCGGCGGTGAGCCCTGAACACTATCATTGATTGGCCTAGCAAAAAAATTTCCGTTTCTGAGACTAAAGTATGATTGGTCAAATAAAATGGCATCTGTCCCTTAATGTGAGCTAATATGTACCTGATATCACACAGTGAATGTCCTCTCAAACCGCAATTAGAAATTAAATTTTAAGTTCAATCAAAATCAAAATTCAGGCTACAAAAAGTATATAGACGGGTGGTTCCTTTGTTAGCTTTAGATTATTTAAGTAAATATTTTATGCAAAATGTAAATTTCTTAATTTACGTATTGTTTAGATAATTTCCATGCCTTAATTTGGAATATAACCAAGGTCTATCTGGACAGGACAGGCCATACGTTATTTGCAAACATGAGGTTACCGTGTTAGTATTCGTTTGCGTTTGATCTATATGCTTATATAAATTTAGCCTTTATTATTATTTTTCAGGGTGTTTATAATAATAACGAGTGATAACAAGTTTTATGAATAAACCCACATAAGTAAACAGTTCTTTAGAATTTATCCCGAACGGTAAGTTTAAATGGATACTGTGTAGAGATAGGGTTAAGAATGAATTATAACAAAATATACGACCTACCCTTCAACATCATAACCCATAAAGGCAAGGCAGATCACAATAAGATGTGGGACCTTTTAGAGATTCGGATGCTACTCGCTGTGTTTCCAACTACGACACCACTCTTAAAGGAGCACCTTCACTATACGTTGACCAATCATACCTTAGTTTTAGAAACAGGAATTGTTTTAGCTTACATAATCAGTATTAGTGTTCACAGCTCATCGTCGAAATTTGAACTTTCATATCCATGTGTATCCATAATTATTCACGTTTGAAAGTTAAAAATTCCACTCGAATTTTAGTGAGACTATGCCATATACAGAAAACACATATTATGTAGGAATAAACAGTGAAATTTCTAGTTTGAGGTATATTTGGAGGGATTATGCGATTTTTGTGCGTTTAGGTACTTCATAAGACTATTAAAGCACATTAAAGACCAAAACATATTCCCGAAAATGCCGACTGTTCCCATTTAACTAATGCTTATCAAGTGGGTTTGTCGACTGGACAGCCATTTAACACATGTACCGTTTTTCTTGGTATGTCGTTGATATAGTTCCTAATATTTGTATTTTATATTCTTTCATATTAACAATAAGAAATGGCAAGCAGTCAATTCCCAGTGGCCGTAATTGGTATCGGTGTCAGGTTACCTGGCGCTCAGAATTGCGAGGAGTTTTGGAAGCTAATGATTGATGGTAAAGATACTGTTGACGAATTTCCCAAAGAGCGGGCTGATGATATTGACCACGTTCTTTCATCATTCCGTGGTCAATTGGTAGACGAAGACAAACCATTTTTCACTGGTTCTTTCTTTAAATCTGTTGACCAATTCGATCCTGACCTGTTCCAGATTAATCCAAGAGAAGCATTGTTTATTGAACCAGAACAAAGATTCTTTTTAGAAGTAGTGTGGGAGTTGCTAGAAGATGCAGGATACGCTTCAAAAATCAAGGGCACCAATACAGGAGTGTATGTTGGCAATACAGTTAACAAATACAAGTACATCCTCAATGAAAACCATCCTAGTATTTCACATGGTAACCATTCACCCTTCATTTCCTCTCGCGTGTCCTTTACCCACGACTTACATGGTCCAGCAATGATGGTAGCTACTGGTTGTTCTTCATCGTTATTAGCAGTCCATTTGGCTTGTCAAGGTCTACTATCTGGTGATTGTGAAATGGCTGTAGCTGGTGGCATTACTCTGGATCTTCTACCAATCAGTGCTAAAACAGACATATGGAACCAGCTTGGAATAACAGGACCTCATGTTAAATGTAGAGCTTTCGATGCCTCTGCTAAAGGCATTGCCAAAGGAGAAGGATGTGGTGTTGTTTTATTGAAGCCTCTGAAGAAGGCAATCGAAGATGGGGATCATATTTATGGAATACTGGAAGCTACCACAGCCAATCAAGATGGTCATTCCAATGGTATAACGGCACCGCATCCTGTTGCTCAAGCCAATATGTTACACCAAGCATGGAAACTGGCTGACATTACACCAGACTCTTTAGGATTCTTTGAAGCTCATGGAACCGGAACAGAACTGGGAGACCCCATAGAAATATCAGGAATTACCAATGCTTTTAAAATGTCTGGAGTAAAAATACCACAAGAGGCTGATCATAAAATTCCAATCGGATCAGTTAAAGCAAATATTGGTCATCTTGCTGATGGAGCTGCTGGGGTTGTCGGCCTAATCAAATCTTTATTATGCCTCCATCACAATAGCATTCCAGGCGCAATAAACTTTACTAATCCTAATCCACATATCAACTGGAAAAAGTCACCCGTGGTTGTGAATTCAGAAACAAAGGAGTGGCTTCCATCTTCTAAATCACCAAGATATGCCAGTGTCAGTGCATTTGGTTTACTGGGCACAAATATCCACGCTGTTGTAAAGGAATACAAACCACCTATACTGTCGCCGTCCATTTTAACCCATGAACAGAAGGACGTTCACTGTCTTTGCTTAGCAGCTAACACTGCCGAATCCTTAAAAGTTTACTCCTACAAGCTGCTAAGCCATCTGAGACAATGCCAAGATACAAGTAACCAAATACTTAGAAATATTTGTTATTCCATTAACACCGGGAGAGAACAATCTAGATTTAAATATAGAGCTGTGATATCGGCCCACAACATGGAAGATCTGATGGAATCTCTCGGCCAGTTGAAAAATATTATTCATAATGGAACCACGGATGTGCGGTGTGCAGACAATATCGCCTTCAATCTGAATAGTAATACTCAGTGTTCTTCAACGACCATTCACGAAAGTCATTCCACTGCTCAAAAGCTGATGATCCAAAACTTTATAAATGGGAAAGGAATCAACTGGAACGATATATACCAAGACAAATGTGATCTTCAACGGATTCCACAACTCCCCACTTACCAATTTGATCGAGTGCGGTTATGGCCACAGATCGCTACTCCCATCAACAGAGAACTGCTTCAATTGGAACACAAGTTTATGGGCCGAACTGACTACCATTCGTTTTTAGCTGATCATAAAGATAATACTCCAGGTAATTCCAGGTCATCAACAGAAACAGTGAAGGATTTGTTACTTAGTTCCCTTTCCGACGCCTTGAACATGGCGTTTGATTGGGAACAGTTTGGTGACGAGAACCTGTTTGAGCTTGGCATGGATTCGCTCATTTTTTCTTTGATAGCCATGAAGATAAAGTCGGAATTGGACATCGATGTATCGATGGGCGAGTTTCACAAGAATCCGACATTTAATGGGCTTCTCTCGACAATAATCACTTCGCCAGAACAAAGAAAACGACCAAAGGAAGGGCAGGGGAAGAACAGCAGCAATACAAGAAAATTGGAAGCATGTGATGTAAAGCCTATACTTCGTAATGCTCTGAATGAAGCTCTAGGTCAAGACATCGATTGGAATACTCATACTGAAGAAAATTTGTTTAGTTTGGGAGTTGATTCCCTAATATATACACACGTTAACATGAAATTGACAGAAGCTACGAACCTCGACACGCCCATTACCATGGCAGAATTACACGAAAATCCCACGTTCTCAAGTCTGCACTCAATTTTGAATTCCAAGTTATGCCAAGATGAAGAAGCGGTTTCCAATATTCAAGAAACTGAAAATGAAAAGCAAGAAGGTGAACTTTACCCGATTTCATTTGCACAACGTAGATTGTGGGTTATGGAAGAAATGGTGGACAATGCTTGTACTTACAACGCTACCAACTGCCTTAAAATTATGGGTGATTTCCATCCCAGTGCTTTTCGTCAAGCTCTTCATCATGTCTTGGAAAACAACATCACTTTCATCACAGTCTTTGAAGATGGTCCAAAAGGTCCTTTACAAAAGTACGACCATAACCTCGACCTGGATCTGAAAACAGTTAATTTGAAAGAAATGAATGACAAAGCCGAGGACGTTGCGATGGAGCAATATTCCACAGACTACAAGACACCATTTGACTTATATAAAGGTCCTCTAGTCCGGTGCAGTTTATATATCCTGCCTTCAAATACCTTTTATTTCACCATGGTAGTTCATCATATAATATTTGACGGTTGGTCCCACTTCGTCTTCTACAACGAATTGTGGAGTACTTATCGGGACCTTATTGAGGGACAATGTACCAAACCTTTGAAATCTAAGATGTCTTACGCTGATATTGCTGTGCAGGAACACATGAACTCACAATCAGCCACTTCAAGAATCACCAAAGACATGGAATACTGGAAGCGAAAACTCGCAGGTGATCTTCCACTCGTTACATTCCCTGGAGATAAGAAAAGGCCGCCAGTGTTCACCTACAATGGGAAGCGTATTACTAAGTTCATTCCACACGAAATCTTTGAGAAACTCAAGCAGTGTTCCGCTAAGCATCACACGACCTTCATGAATATCCTATCTAGCGTTTTTTGCTTGGTAAAGAAGTATAATGGTGAGAGGGATCTAATAATAGGAACACCGATTGCTGGACGTCACGATGCTAAAAGTAAGGATGTAATTGGTTGCTTCATCAATACCTTAGCTCTGAGAGTCAATCTAGAAGATAACCTTAATTTTACACAGGTTCTAGAAGAAGTTTCAACAGTTTGCCTAGAAGCTTATGATCACCAACAAGCTCCATTCGACCATCTAGTAAGTCAGCTTAATTTACCCCGAGACACCAGAATTACTCCAGTCTTCAGCATCAATGTTTGTTACCACAACACGGAAACCAAAGGAGATCACGTCAATCCGCCAGATGAGCTCACCGTTGAGAGAAAACTGCTCCACAACGATTCATCAAAATGGGATATGCAGTTTGATTTCTTAGAAGAACCAGAAGGGATGAGGTTCACTTTAGAATTCTACTCAGATTTGTTTTCCGATGAATATGCCAATCTCATTGTAGACAGCTACATCAGTCTTCTGGACAGTATAAGCAACTGCCCAAATCAACCTATAGAGCTACTCCATCTCAATTCGCCCTTCGATCAAATAAGTAGCGAATTGCCAGTTTTGATGGGGCCAAAGTGTGATCTTGGTTCTAGACCACTACCAACGCTACTATATGAATCCATTCAGACAAATTTTGCATCAGAAATCATAGAAGGACAGACGAGAATAAAGTATGCAGATTTGGGTAAAGATGTGCAGAAATTAGCATCTTTTCTACGGTTGTACTGCAAACTACCTCAAGGATCCAGAGTTGGACTTCTAATGGAGAACACCACAAAATCCATTGAGTCAGTCTTATCTTGTCTTATGTCTGGATTGGTTTATGTACCAATGGACGTCAACAGCCCAAAATCAAGACTGCAGCATATAGGCATAGAAGCTGACCTTAAAGCGATTTTATTTAGCAAACAATATCTCAATCTTGCTAACAGCATCCTTTGGTCATGTTCCAATATAGAATCGTTAGTTTGTATTGATGCTGAAGATTTTGATGCCCTTATTGAAACTGAGCAGACTCCCTTAATGGATATCGAACTATGGGATTGTGTTGCTGTTCAAGCTGAAGATGGTATTGAAGGTGGCGGTTGGAAGAGTTCTTATACAGGAGAACACATGACACAAGAAGAAATGACAGAATATTCAAATAACATCTATCAGAAATTAAAACCATTCCTAAACAAATCGACACGGGTTTTGGAAATTGGCTCTGCTTCCGGTCTCACTACTAATATGATAAAACCACATGTCGGAAGCTATGTCGCTACAGATTTATCAACAGAGATGGTCAAAAAGCTGAAAGAATCCAACAAAAACGAACCTAACATGGAATTTATGTGTGGGGCTGCAGATGAAATATGCAGACACTTCCAAGGTCGTCAGTTTGATGTGATCATTATGAACAGCGTAGTACACTGCTTTCCAGGCTACAACTATTTGAAATACGTTATAAGAAACTGTGAAAAGATGTTATCTCCGGATGGTGTCATCTTCATTGGTGATGTCATGGATTTAGACATAAAAGAAGATCTGGTTTCCTCCATGAAAAATTTCAAAGCTGATAATCCAACTCACAGGACCAAAACGGATTGGAACAACGAACTCTTCATTCCAAGACGTTTCCTTCAACATATTTGCTCATCTTCTCAAATATTGAAGAGCTTTAAACATTCCAGGAAATTTTACAACATTCCAAATGAACTGACAGAATTTCGTTACGATGCCTTACTGTCAAGGTCACAGAACAACAAAAACAATTTACCGTCCGGAGTATCAACATTTGCTCTGAAAGATATTGAGGAAGCTGATATGGAAGACCTAAGCCTGTTCATGTCCCCAATAGGATTTGCCGATGAAGCTTATATACTCTACACATCTGGTACGTCAGGAGCACCAAAGGGAGTGATCATATCTCAAGGCGCTCTACTAAACTATGTTCAGTGGGCATCACGGAGATATGAATTCTCTCCCAAAACCAGCACACCATTCTTCGCACCACTGACCTTTGATTTCACAATAACCAGTATTCTTCCACCAATTCTAAAAGGCAGTCAGATCTATGTCTACAAGAACTTTCAAGATCATTACCAAGAAATTGCTGAAAATCGACAGTTGACCACAGGAAAGTTTTCTCCACTTCAGCTGGATATGCTGCTGGAGGAAGCCAAGTCTCCTTTATCTTTTAAAACCTTCATCATTGGTGGTGAAGAGTTGAATTCCAACCTAATGTCCAAATTAAAAGAAAACAAGGGTAATCAAGATTTTGCTATTTGGAATGAATACGGACCCACAGAGGCAACAGTTGGTTGTGTGGTTAAGTGTTTCAAGAGCGAAGATCTACCACTAAAGGATTCTGAACTGGTAACCATTGGTCAACCAATAGACAACACAATAGTTGGAGTAGTTCGAAATAACCAGTTAGTACCAATTGGTGGCAAAGGATCTTTAGCAATTGGAGGCAGATGTCTTTGTAATGGTTTTGCTGGAAAAGGCATAGACAAAACGACCAAAATGATCAAAGCCTTTAAAAATTCTGTTTGGAGTCAACCGGCTGAGCGAATTTTAATAACAGATGATGTTGCTGAAATTCTTCCATCTAGCAAAGAAATGGCCTACTTTGGAAGAAAGGAGAGTGGTGTGGTTAAAGTTAATGGTATTCGAGTTGACCTACAAGAAATTCAAAATGCTTTGGAAGACATTTTGTTTGTACAGTCAGCATGGGTATGTTGCTTTGATTATGGAGAGAACACTTTATTGGGAGCGGCACTGGTTCTTCGTTCAACTTTTCCAGAGAAATCAACTTGGCAAAAATCTGTGTTGGCTGCATTGCAAAATTCACTACCAATGAGAATCATACCAAAGGTACTAATCGAGGTCTCAAAACCACCGATTAACAAAAATGGAAAGACTGATATGAAATTTTTAAGAGATCAATGTAGAATTAAAATGCAAGAATCGTCTTCCATAGCGGGAACAAACATTGA